TTCACCGGGGGCCAGCCAGCCAGCCAGCCATCTACCACTGCCTTCACCGGGGGCTAGCCAGCCAGCCATCTACCGCTGCCTTCACCGGGGGCTAGCTAATTCTGCTCCATGGCTGAAATCTCTGCTGCTGTGAATGGGACCTGCCCCGCTGACTTCTATGGTGTTTCACCCCTCTACGCCCGCAGAGAACTTGGCCTTATGGAATTGTAGCCATGGGCTGGAAGGGACCTCGAGGGTTTATCCAGTCCAGCCCCCTGTGCTGAGGCAGGACCAAGTAAACCTAGATAAGTCCTGACAGGTGTTTTTCCAACCTGCTCTTAAAAACCTCCAGCAATGGGGATCCCACCACCTCCCTTGAGCCGATCCCAGAGCTTAATTACTCTCATAGTTAGAAAGATTTTCCTCATATCAAACCTAAATCTCCCTTGCTGCTGCTGAAGCCCATTGCTTCTTGTTCCACCTTCAGTGGATACAGAGAACAATTTATCACCAGCCTCTTTATAACAGCCCTTAACACACTGGAAGAGTGTTATTAGGTCCCCCCTCAGTCTTCTAGACTGCCCAATTATTTTAACCTTTCCTCAGAGGTCAGGTTTTCTAAACCTTTGATCATTTTTTGCTGCTCTCCTCTGGACTCTCGCCAGTTTGTCCCCATCTTTCCTAAAGTGCGGTGCCCAGAGCTGGTCACAACACGCCCGCTGATCCCCCGCCGCGTGTCTTACATCCGACACTCCTGTTAATACATCTCCAAATGACAGGAGCCTTTTTCGCAACTGCGTCCCGTTGTTGACTCATCGGCAATTTGTGATCCACTCTCCCTCCCCCGCGACCCTTTTCAGCAGTACGGCCACCTCGCCAGTTCCCCTCCCCGCAACCAACATGTAGTTGTGCGTTTGATTTTTCCTTCCTCGGTGAAGTACTTTGCCCTCTGTCTTTATTGAATTACATCTTGTTGATTTCAGATCAAAGCTCTGATTCGTCAAGGTCATTTTGAATTCTAAACCTGAATGCCAAAGCTTGCTACCCCTCCCACCTTGATGTCATCCGCAAGTTGTAGAAGCATTCCCCCCACTCCACTACCCAAGTCACTGATGAAAATATTGAATAGTGCCAGACCCAGGGCTTACCCCTGCAGGACCCCGCTCTCCCCCAGTTTGACAGTGAACTACTCTTATGTGTTTATTTCCTTGCGGTGTAAGGTTGGATGTAAGTGCTTGGGGGAGTGATTTATGTTCCTGTACCCTTTTGGGGTTTCAATGGGGTAAAATGCCCCCTTGCAGAGGCCCCTCTTGGGGGATGTCTCTTTCCCACGATATGCCCCTGCAGCACCCCTTGAGACACCCCGTGAGACCTTACAGACCTGGCTCAGCAAAGCTGAGAATCTCATAGTCTTGCTCATCGGTCTTGGGACTCTGGCTCGGCATCTCCAACGTGACGCTCGGGTTCGTGCGCCCGACACGGAGCCTCCCCAGAGCTGTCAGGAGGCCA